GCCTAACCCCGTTCCCGAAGGGCCTCAGAGCCATTTTTCTAAAGGAGACTTTGTATCCCCCTCTGTAAATGGAAAACAAGCGTCCTGTCCCAACAACAGCCAAGGACCTATAAGCACGGCATGCAAATCCTGGCGCGAGGCACCTTAAAATCCCCGGCACAGGGCACAAACAAGTACCGCCTGGGCCCCACTCCGCAGCGTGTTTACTGCGGGTTTTTTGCTACCTGGACCCCCCCCCCCCTTTGGCTATAGACTCTTGCAGGACAGGAACCATGACCCTTGTCTCCTGTCACCAGGTGAACTTCTTGGGGACAGTGAGGACCGCCTGGGCTGGGCCTGCCACACAGCCAGCCATCGGGAACCAGCTGTCAAAAGAAAACAGCACTGCCCCCAGCAAACAGGCCTAAGGGACACCCCTGGCAGAGAGAAGGGTCCCCCTCTTGGCGATGTGAGGAACCAGAGCAGACCACGCTGGCAGGAGGAAAGGCATCCTTGTGTCCCAGAGAGCCAGATCCTGAAGCTCCGCAGCCAGAGCTGCCTGGGGTGACGGACAAGGGTGGGGTGATGGAGATGTGAGGGGAAATCCCTCATAGAGGCCCACGCCCTCTGACACCATCAGGCACAGCTGCCCCTTCTAAGGGAAGCCGCTGCGCTTCTCACACAGGACTCGTGCCCATTATGTGCCGCTGGCCAGAAGGGGGACGGCCCCCACACATGGGAAGGGAAAAGGTGATGCCTGAACATTCCTAGGAAGAAACCCTCTTTGATTAAAAATCACTCATTGGCTTTATGTTTCTGCCAAACCAGAGGGGTCAAGTTTCCCAGGGATCAGTCCCTCGATGCCCAAGCAGGCCCTCGGTTTCTGCCCTACTGGCCGGTCTTGCTGCAGATGGGACTTGGGACCAAGCTCCAAGGACTGACTAAGCCTTATAGGTCCAGAGTGCTGGACCTTTTGGACAACCAAAGCATCCCACCTGGGGGCTGAGGGCAAGGGCAGGTAACCCCCAGGTGTTGCTGGGATTGCAGATGAGAGAATAAAGGGGCAGTAAAGTGCTTTGGGACAATTTCAGTCTGCTGATGTCTTGCAATGTTGATCTCATTGAGAATAAAAGACTAAAAACGACAGTCTTGCACACCGACAGGCAGGCAAACCCTAAAACTGAGGTTGAGAAGAGAAAGGCCAGCCCATTATGCTTCTGTAGGAGGGACATATGGGAACATCCGGCGGGGACTGAGGCAGCCTCGCAGGCTGGTGACACATGACTCTCATTGCTAACTGCTGCTTTCACTGCCCCAGAGAAGCATAAATAATCCCCCAAAAGCCCTAACCGGTTTGGCTCAGTGGATAGAGCGTCGGCCTGCGGACTGAAGGGTCCCAGGTTCGATTCTGGTCAAGGGCATGTACTTTGTTTGCAGGCACATCCCCAGTAGGGCGTGTGCAGGAGGCAGCTGATCGATGTTTCTCTCTCATCGATGTTTCTAACTCTCTATCCCTCTCCCTTCCTCTCTGTGAAAAATCAATAAAATATATATTTTTTTTAAATCCCCAAACAAGCATTCCTCCTACATTACCACATAAGCCCCGACTTCTATGTATGGGAGGCCAATAAATTTCATCTAAGCCAATTCCTAACAAGAAAAAGCTGACACTTGTGCAAGTTCATCGCAGCGTTACTCATTCGTGATAGCCAAACAGTGCTCATCCCCAGATGAATAGATAAGTATAATGTGGTCTCTCCATACAATGGAATGAATATCTCTCAGCCGTATAAAGGAACGAAGCACTGACACCTGCTACACCACAGATGAACCGTGAAAACATGATGCTGAGTGCGAAAGTCAGACACAAAAGGCTACATACTGTGTGATTCCATTTACATAAACATCCAGAATAGGCAAATCCATAGAAGCTAAAAGTAGACTAGTGGTTGCTGGGGAACGGAGGAGTTGGGCAGCTACAGAACTCTGTGAACACACTAAAAACCACTGGGCCCTGGCTGGGTAGCTCAGTTGGTTGGAGCATCGTCCCGATATGCCAAGGTTGCGGGTTCATTCCCTGGTCAGGGCGCATACAAGGATAAACAATGAATGTGTAAATAAGAGGAACAATACATTGGTCTCTCTCTCTCTCTCTCAAATCATAACTTAAAAAAATTTAAAAATAGCCCAGCCAGCATGGCTCAGTGGTTGAGTGTCAACCTATGAACAAGGAGGTCACGGTTTGATTCCTGGTCAGGGCACATGCCCAGGCTCGATCCCCAGTAGGAGGCAGCCAATCAATGATTCCCTCTCATAACTGATGTTTCTATCTCTCTCTCCTTCTCCCTTCCTGTCTGAAATCAATAAAAGTATATATATATATATATATACACACACACATATATTTTTTAAATTAAACAGTAAAAAATAAAAACCATTGAAATATAATATACACTCTAAATGGGTGAATTGTATGGTATGTGAATTATATGTCAATAAAGTTGCATTTAAATCACAGAAATGGCTGCCTAGAGCTCCCAGCTGAGGCTGAGGTGGTGGGTCAGGCTCAGTGGGAAGAACTGCTACTCTGCCAGGCACTGGGGGTTGAGTGGCAGAAAAGGTGCAGTTTGTCATGTCAGTCCTACAGGGACCGACATCCTCACCTGTCCTAGGAGGTGCTAACACTGACCCGGGTTTACGTTTGGAAGAGGGATGGCTACACCCTCCCCGGAGGCAGAGGATCTTACACAACTTGGCAGCAGACGGGAAAGGGGACTTACTTCCTAGGTCTTAACCATCAGAGAAAGGGGGGATGCTGGAGAGGCAGCAGGCAGAGCCACAGATACAGCATGCCTGGGCGACCCAGAGCAGGGGCAGCCACGGGGCCCTGGGACAGAGCCCCAGTGCCACTGACAGGTCCTGAGCATAGGTGGGTGCCCGGCTGGGTCGTAGGACCTAAGTGAACTCATGGGCATTCCGGGTGGAGCGCCATGCACCTGCAGCCCCAGCTCACATGCACGCCTGCCGTCGGGTCCAAGCCCCTGGTGCCCTGCTTTTCAGTCCAGAGGCCCAAGGTGAGCCTGGGCGCAGCAGGAAGGCCCGTCCGCCGCCCACCAGGGTGGGGGTGCCCGTGCTCTGCAGCTGCCCCCGCCCCCAGGCCCCGGCAGAGGCTACTGCGCAGGCAGGCAGGCTTTACCTTGGACTCAGACAGGGGCTCCCATTCCCTGGTTGGTTTTTTGCTGGAATCGCCAGAGGGGAGGGAAAAGGGAAGTGAGAAGGGACAGTTGGGATCCATGGGATGCCCGTCCCCCACCCCTGGGACACTCAGACCCCAAATACCCGCTTGGCAGAGCGGTTGCCAGGGCGATTATGAGGACACTGCTCTGCCGAGACACGTAGGGCCCCTCATGGGGGACACTGGCTTGCTCACCCAGCAGAGGGCTGAATGCCCCATCAAGCACGCCTGCTTCTGGGCCACAAAAGTGCTTTCTGATTGTCTAGAGCTCCCCAGTTAAAGTGAAACCCCCCCGAGAAAGGTAAAACTTCTAGGTGGGTATGCTATGAGCACAAGGAGGCCGGCTGAGCCAGGGTGGGCGAGACCACAGCCAGGCTGCTCTGGCCTCCCCAGTGTGCCCGGGTCTGAGTCTTTCCAGCTGGAAGCACTCCAGGGATGGACCCGGGCAGAGTGGGCTGCACAGGGCTACACTGCATTTGGCCCCAGCTACCCACCCCAGGAAGGCAGGTGGACACTCACCTGAGCAGGTTTCCGGGCGCCGACAGCGAGCGTTCCTCCCGCCGGCTGCAGTCGAACGGGTTCCCGAAGGAGCGTTTTCGAATCATGGTCTTCACCAGGATCTGAAGGGGAGAAGAGGAGGCTCAGTCACCGGGAGGTGGGAGTCCAGGTAACATCCTCCCTCATCCTTCCTCCCCCAGCTCCTGCTCAGCTCCTGGGGCTTGTGGCCTTTGGGAGACACTGGGCAGCATCTGGGATATCGCAGCCAAAGCCATCACCAATTCTGATTGGTCCACTCCCAACACCTCCCATGGCTCCCTGGCTGCCAACAAGGTCCCAACTCCTTGGTCTGATGTTCAAGTCAGGTCACAATCGAGTCTTGGCCTGCCCACCCCCCGGGACCCGGTGCTCCAGGAGAGCTGGCCTGCACCTGAGCCATCACGGTGTGCCCTCCTGGCTCATCGACCTGCCTCGTCTGCAAGGCCAGGCCTCTACATTCGGTGAAAGCCTTCTATGACCACACCCACAAAACCCCAACCATTGCTCTCCAGGTAAAAGGGGGCTGTACTTTTTAAAAATTAAAATATAATTCCCACAGCATCAGACCCGCCATTTTATAGGGTACAATTCCATGGTTTTTAGTAGATTTGTGTCGGCACTCTATAATTTCAGAACATGTCCATCACCCCACAAAGAAACCCTGCCCCCATTAGCAGTCACTCCCCCCCTCCCCGGCCTCCCAGCCTCCCGGGGCTCTGGCACACACCAATCTGCTGTCTCTGAACGCGTCTCTTCTGGACATTTCATGTAAAAGGAACAACACAGCATGTGACCTTTTGTGTCTGGTTTCTTTCACTCGGCATAATGTTTCTGAGGTTTATAATATGCTGTATCAGTATTCCATTCCTTTGCATGGATATAAATTTTATTAATTCACCGATTGGTGGACATTTTGGCTGTTTCTACTTTTGGGCTATTATGAATAATGCTGCTATGAACACGTGTCCAAGTGTTTGTGTGGACATGTTTTCCACACAAAATGTTTTCATTTCTCTTGGGTGCATACCCAGGAATGAAATTCTTGGATCACATGGTAACTATGTTTAATGTTTTGAAGGAACTGCCAGACTGTTTTCTACAGCGACTGTGCCATTGTATATCCCCACCAGCAACATGCAAGGATGCCACTGTCTCAGGGGATTGCGTTTTAGGCAAGGAGACACGCCTGCCCAAGGGTTAAGCACGAAGAAAAGATCCGCAAAGTCCATTCTCCGCATGGGATCTTTCCAAGGCCCACCCTGATCATGCTGCTCCCGATTCAAATCCTGCAGGTGCTTCCCACACCTCTCAGCGCACAGCCGATCCTTCCAGGGGGCCTTCTCAACCCATCACCTGGCCCATGTCCCCCCTGAGGGACACACCTCAAGGCCCCTCAGTTACACAGCACATCTATTTGTTGACTGTGTGTCCCTACAGGATGGCAGGTGCCCTGTCGGTTTTATTCATCATGGTACCCCTGCTCCCAGCACAGGCCTGAGAAACCACTCAAGTGCTTCCTGAATAGTCAGGGACTAGTTCAGACTCAGGGGCAGACACCTTCTCCCAAGAACATCCCAAGCCTGGAACAGAATCACCCACGGTGGGCGCCGGGATCTGACGCCAGCCGCCTGCCCCACTATGGGCACAGGACGTGGGTGCAGTGGGTGGATGAGAAAGAGCGAGTGGGTGTGGGTGAGTTTTTAACAGTGAAGGTCATGCAGAGGCTCCAGGTGGGGGAGGAGGAGGAGGATGTGAATGGATGCCCGCGAAGGGGCTCAGGATTCGGAAGAAGGAGAGAGAAAGTGTGTGAGGAAGCAGGGGGGAGAGGTGCAAAGCTGGAGAGAAGGAGCCAGCATTTGGGCTCCTACGGGGACAGTCACTCGAGGTCCCTCCCGGAGCCCAGGGCCCTGCCTGTCTACCGGGGCCGGCGCTGGCCAAACGCAGCCCAGGGCTTTGGAGGTGGCCATGGCAGGTGGCCAGCTGGACTCTGTCACAGGACTGCTGCCTGGATCCGGGTCCCTGAGGGTCCTGGTCTCCCACCTGGAGCCAGGCACCCTGATGGGTAGGGGATTGGCAAGTGGGTGACTCCCAGAGTCTCCGGGGTTAAGCCTGAGGACTCCACATTCTGGCTCCTTCTTCCTGGGTTAGGATGCAAGTGTGAGGCCATAAAAGGGGCTGGTAACTTGGGATCAAACCCCCACCCTCCCGAGTTGGGAAGGATTTTCTGCGGCATGTGAAGTGGGAGCCCCTCTGCTAGCCCGGGAGCAGCACACACGGCAGACGTGAGATGAGCTAAGCCGTTCGCTCTGGAGACTGGAGATGCACCGGGTGAGAATCCCGGCTCACAGACCTCGGCTCCAGCTCCATCCCTGGCACCCGCCCTGGTCCTTCTTCTCCTGTTCCCGCCATGCTCTGAAAGCAGGCATTCCGGGAGGGGCAGTGGGATCCTGGGAGAGGGGCTACCCCTCTACAGTACAGGAAGACCTGGCTGCAGATAGAACCGAGGCCAGAAGATACAGGCACCTGGCCTGATGTGCGCCCAAGGCCCAGAGGCTGGTGGCAGTGGGTCTGGGGCAGAGTCAGCCACACCCTGACCTTCAGGCCCAGCGTCTGCTCCTCAGACGCCTGCCTGCGTCTCAGCCGGTCTTGGCAGGGTCCACCTCCGGCCCCAGTGGCTCTGTCCCTGCTCTCGGTCAGTGGTTCGTCCGCCTTACCACGGTCGCCAGGCTGGGAATGTGTTTGACTGAATTCTCGACCTCCTCTTCGGTCACCTCGACCAGCGTGCAGTTCTCGTCCTCCGATGGCAACGGCTCCGCCCCATGCCTCGTGACCCAGGGGTGCAGCTTCAACGAATGACAGCAGGGGTGAGGGCTGGCTCCCAGAGGCAGGACAGCGGAGCCAGGGAAGGGATGCACGAGGGGAGAGGCAGTGGCCGGAGGCCAGACATGCAAGAAAGCAGATAAGCCAAGCAGAGGGTGCAGGGAGCAAGATGGTGGGAAACGTGGAAGAGACGAGGGACAGAGAATGGGAGGGAGCTACGAGGTGGGATGTGCACGGACCGGATTCTCCATCTGGCCCCAGGTCTTGGCAGAAGTGACTACAATTTGGCATCTGCCACCTGCAGTTGCCCGAGGAGCACCCATCACTCCTCAGCATCTCTTCCTGATGCCTGGAAAGCTCAGCTCAGAGCAGGCAGCATCCTCCCCATTTTACAGAAGGGCAAACAGAGGCTCACGGAGGCACAATGACCACAGACCAGCTGGAAGGGCACAATACGGAGAGGACTCAGGCAGGGGTCTGGCCCCCCACTACACACCCCTAGGGTCTAAGCCCTCATCGGTAACTTTTGGGGCTTCCCCCTCTTCAAATGCTAGTAAGCTAGGGGTTCCCGAAGCAAATTTGTAGATTTCCTAATGAGCCAGATGTGTGCGTGTGGCATTGGCTGGGTGTAGGGTGTAAGTGTGTGTGTGTGGGGGGTGGGGGGGGGAGGGTGTCTCCTAACAGTACTTTCTGGAACAGGGATGGAATTCAGCAGGCCAGGGTGGAGAGTGGGGTCAAACTGTTCACTAACTTCCTCCCACCCTCACTACAATTTCTCACAGAAGGATGGGCAAGGTCAAGGCAAGGGCCCAGGCCTTTGGCAGCCAGGGTGTGCAGCACAGAGAGGCCCCGGTCGGTCAGGTCCGGGGAGGGTGGATGCCATCAGCCGAAGCCAATCGGAGTGCTAGCTGCTCAGCTGGCAGCAGATCCCACTTACACAATCACATCAACACAAGCCCCAGATCCTCCTCCTGCCCCCGCCTCCTGCGCAGGGGAGGGCAGCGGTGCCAAGGAGGGCATGACGCCGTGGATGTGGGGCGAGGGGCCTGGCCAAGGCGGGGTCGAGCCAAACAATTCCAAGCAGCGGACGACGCAGGCCAAGCCGCTGGCACGCACTCCACAGGGCAGCAGTGGCCCCCAGGTACCTTGATCTCTGGCACCATGATCCTCGACTCGGGATTCTTATCCAACATGCGGGTGATGAGGTCCTTCAAGTCCTCGGCTATGTCGGGCCTGCGGGCGAGAGACACGTCAGAAGCTTGAGAGTCAGATACGCAGGACCACTCAGGGCTCTGAGCAGGAAGCGACTCAGGACAGCCGGGCGATACTCACTGGTCTGGAAATTCCAGGGCCTGACTCTTGATCTTACTGTGTAAACACATGATCCGCTCGTCCATGAACGGGCACTGCCAAGAGAGGTCGGAGCGGCCGTCAATGGCTGGCACGCCTGTCCTTGTAAAGGCCGCCCTGTGCCGGCCACTCCACATGGGTCACAACCGAGAAATAAGTAGCCCAGAGGCCTGATCTAGGAAAGGACAGTTCCCCACACACTCTTCCTCACCCACCTACTAGGTGAACAACAGTAATTCCAAGAACAATTCAGAAGTCGTCACAGTAACAGCAGGGATTGGCAAGGGCTTTGTACTGAAGTTTCTCAAGACCAACGTTTCATTGGCTGTTCCCACTGCCTGGAATGTTCTCCCCACCAACACTGGCCTGGCTTGTTTTCTCCCATCATTCCGGTGTCGAATCCAAGTGCACCTTCTCAGGGAGGCCTTCCTGAGCTCCTGTCTGAGGCAGACAGGCCGCACCCACCCCTGGCCTTCTCGTCATCGCGCCTCTCCCTGGCGTTTATTACGTGTGTGTGTGTGTGTTTGTTGTCGAACTCCTGCGCTGGAACATCAGCTCCAAGAGGCCTGGCCTGTTCGCCTATCTTGCTCACTGCTGTCTCCCCACTGCCCAGGAACATCCCTGGCTCAGAGTAGCTCAATAAACACGTGTTGAATGAATGAGTACTTGGATGATTTCTGTCGATCCTCTCAGTAGCCATAAGGAATAGTAGGTATTATTCTCATTTGATGGGAGAGAAAAATAGAAACTCAGCGAGGTGCCATGTCCTGCCTGGCAAGGACAAAGCTGGGATTCAGGCCTCGGCTGGGCTGATCCCGCAGCCTGTTCGTGCACCACCTGCCGGGGGACAAATCCATGCTCTCACCCGGCGGAGGGAGGGCCTGACCCGGAAGGAGCCCGGGAAAAAGCAACCTTTATGTGAGTGCTTAGAAGGCTGGGAAAAGCCTCAGGAAGTGACCTGGCCCACTCCTGTCCTAGGAAAATGAGTCCATTAAGAGCACTAACCTGAGAGAGCAGTTTGGATTACACAGGTGTGTATTTGACAAGCTCCTTCAATAGTGCACTTAAGATGTGTACATCTCACTGTACAAAAAAAAAGGGGGGGGTGGGGGGAGGAGCACTAATAAACAGTGAGCTCTACCTAAGGATTGCACCCGGAAACATTTACAAGTGCAGAGATGTTGGTAACTCTGAAATATGTAAAAAAATAAGACAGACTGAGGATGGACAGACAGGTGATACAGTAGCAAGATTCTTTATGGTAGAATCCAGGTGCGGCTGCATGAGTGTTTACTGTACAATTCTTTCAACTTTGCTATGTGACTGAAACTTTCTGATCAAATGTTGGGGTAAGAGGAGGAGATTACAAACCCCTTTATGTCCTCACAGGGCCAGTTTCTTAAGTTTTCCTCAACAGGAGCACAAACTCACAAAGCAGGAAAATCCATGCTTTTACGGCTCACATAATCAATCCGAACTTCAGAGTTAAAAATAGAAGCCCCTAGCCCTGGCTGGTGTGGCTCAGTTGGTTGGGCGTTGTCCTGTGCACCAAAAGGTTGCCCATCTGGTTGCCAGTTCGATTCCCAGTCAAGGCATGTGCTCAGGGTGCAGGCCTGATCACTGATCAGGGTGTGTCAGGAGGCAGCTGGTCGATGTGCCTCTCTCACATTGATGTTTCTCTCTCCCCCTCTCCCTTCCTTTCTCTCTAAAAATCAATAAAAACGTATTTTTTAAAAATAGAAGTCCCTAAATATCAATACTATAAAAAAAGAGAGCAAAATAAAAAAAGAAAGAAAAGAAAAAACAGTATTCCCTAAATTAAAAATGCCAAATGGATTTTAACTTCCACTCCAATTCCATGCCTGCAACAAACAGCTTCTAGGAACACTGTTGAGAACATCAAAGCTGTATTGGGCTCGGGAGAAAAAGTGCAGTCACTGATCAGTGATGTCTGTCTCGGTTTTGGAGTGGGGAGGGGACAGCATTTGCTGTCCTTGCCCTAAATCTATCAATTATTTACAACCTCTAAGAGCCTCTGCCAATCCTTCTGTTTTAGAAGATCATGTTTTCACAGATATGACTATCCTATACTAGATCATGTACATTTGGGAAGGAATCCTTTTTCATATTCAGATCTAACTGTGGAAATAAAAACCAGCCACACTCAGGAGGCAGGACACCCCCACCCTGTTACCTGGCCAAACACAAAGCAGTAGAGTGTCACACCCATGGCCCAAACATCCAAGGCCTGCAAGAAAAAAGGAGCTTCGTGTGAGGGGACAGCGGTGGTGAGGGGCACCTACCACTCTGCCTGTCCAGCCTCAACTCCTCCAGCTTTCCTCCGGGAACCACCTCTCCTGGACTCAGTCCATGGGGTTGGTCCTGCCCCCAGCCTCTGGGTAGGCACATGACCCAGGACTGACCAATGAGAGCACCACTTCCCCCAGCCAGTGACTGGGTCAAGGATGGGCACATGACCCAGGACTGACCAATGAGAGCACCACTTCCCCCAGCCAGTGACTGGGTCAAGGATGGGCACATGACCCATGCTGGGCCAATCAGAGCCAATCCCAGGATTTTTGCTCGAGCTCTTCAGAAGACCAACAGTCTTTCTACTGAGGTTGGTAAACGGATAGCAAGTAGCCTGGAGCTGCTGGTGGCCAACCCACCTGGGGGTGGGGGGGAGGGGGACCAATTCAGGAAAACAGACCTAAGATGGAGAGATGGATCCCGATTTGAATCTCTGTATCTAACCACCTCCCGAAGCCAAATGCACCCCGCTCATCTAGGTGATTTAACAGATTCACTGTTTCAGCCACAATGAGTTGGATTTCTTGGTGCTTATAACTGAGAGGACCCGAATACAGGCAGAACTCAGCATCTCCGGCAGGTCCAAACCTACCTTCCCAGAGAAGATTTTCCGGGTCTCGGAGAGAGACTCGGGTGCCATGAAGGCAGGTGTGCCCACGGTGTTAGAGAGGAGCGCGTCGCTGCCCTTGAACTCGTTGCTCACGCCGAAGTCCGCAATCTTAATGTGCCCATCTTCTCCGACCAAGAGGTTGGGAAGGTTTGATGTCCCGGTGGATGATCTTCTGGTAGTGCACTGAAACTGGGGATGTGCCTGACGG